TGCGAGGTGAGTCTTCTCGCTGTGTGTATGGGTCTACAGCCACAATGCCGACCCATTTAGTTTATGTATGGTAGGAAGACTCGGGGGTTAGCCCTAGGCACTATGTATGAAATACCAGGGGGTAGCTCCTGGCACACAGTATGCTATTATGTATGGTAGTAAGACCTGGGGATTAGCCCTAGGCACTATGTATGAAAGACCAGGGGGTAGCTCCTGACACACAATATGCTATTATGTATGGTAGGAAGACCCAGGGGTTAGCCCTAGGCACTATGTATGAAAGACCAGGGGGTAGCTCCTGGCACACAATATGCCATTATGTATGACACGAAGAGCCGGGGGTTAGCCCTAGGCAATATGCATGAAAGACCAGGAGGTGGCTCCTGGCACACTGTATGCTCATTAGCTAAGTAGAGTAGTATGTATGCTAGTTGTCTTTGTGATACTTGCATGGAAGACCAAGAGGCGGATCTTGTCACTTGTCTGTAAGACCCATGGGGTGGCCCCGACTTGGCAAGAAAGACCATGTGGCGACCCGTGGCATAACAGCAAGACTATATGCGGCACATAGCACCTTATTTGATATATGATTGATATGTATGGCTCACAGTATGTATGGCATGTATGGCCCAGTTGATATGTATGGTATGTGGTATTTGGGGAACTCACTAAGCTTCGTGCTTACGTTTTTCAGCTTTTGTTTCAGGTACTTATGTTTTCAAAGGAAGGAGCTCGGGGCGATCGCAGCGCATCACACTATGTTTTTCCGCACTATATGATATTTGGGATTAAAACTCTGATAATTGTTTTATTTAGAATACTATTCGATGTTTTGAGAAAAGTTACTAAGTGGTTTTAATTAATCAAAAACGAAATTTGTGGTCTTGAATTTTGGGATGTTACATGTACAGAACTTCACAAGCGAATCCAATAGGCAAAGGCGAAAAGATGAAGTTGTTTATATATAACGGGATTGTTGTTGGTGGGATTGGGAAGACAGAGTGGACGATGTATTTGAGGGAACAAGTAAAGACCTTTGACATTTGAAAGTCAATGTAGGTTGGGGGAAAAATGTCTATGTGGCAAAGAAGTTACCAGTTGAACCCTTTCATTTCTTCAAAAATGACCAAATAGACCCGACAAAAACAAGTTTATTCCCTTATAAAGCACAAAAATAAGTTAAGGGACTGAATGGGCAACTGGCCAATATATTGTAGGGCTAATGTGTCATTTTCCCTATGAATAATCTACTATAAATCTCAACTATACCATTTAATTTACTCATATGATATCAACTAACATTAATTTATATATTAGACTCCTTACATGATACAATCACTATCACATATCTGGATAATAATTATCTAGAAGAGTGTATGGTTACTCACCTTGTAGCAATCCATATGCACTAACTTCAAACTCTCAAAGTTTCGTTCTCGTTCCTGCTTCCATATCTCCACTAGTTGTTAAAACAACACATTCACCTTGAGTATTATGACTCAAGAGACAACTTACCCATATATTAACTCAACATGTTCATTAAGTACACAACACTCAATTATGTATTTAAACTTGTTAAAGTCCATGAATTACTTGTCCTTGTGTCTTAATTCATTGAGACATATACTTAGCTCCATTTCAATAATCATATAACCGAATGGAGTGTTATAGCACAAATCATAAATCAGTTATATATGGCTTATTTTTTTCACATCAAAAGGATTATGCTCAATGCATATCTTTTCTATGTCTTAATCTACTGAGACATATACTTAACTTCACTTAATTCATTAATTCACCAATTCAAGCATTATAGCTCAAAGTACAAGTCATTTATGCATGACTTAATTCATTTACTAAAAGTAATTAAGCTTTATGTATAAGTCATCCATATGACGTAATCTATTAAGATATAAACTCTATTTCACTTATCTATGAGATTTCTCAAGTATGGTTCATAACTACCATATTTCATTTAAAGTAATTCACTATAGGTTTTAGCATAACAAGCTCAAAATCATGATTATTTCATTCACTAGATCAAAATTATCAAGATTTGCCACATAACATGCACTAGGTTTTCACTACCCTTTTCAACCTCATCATAAGAGCTAAATTAAGATTACAAAATGGAAGACAATACCTTTGATTTAATGGATGAGTTGTACTCTCTTTATTTCTCCTTTTAACTAACTCTAATTTAAGCTCAAGAGCACCAAAAACCTTCCTACCATGCTCTCTGGAATGTATGTGTGGGAAATGAAATAAGAATATTGACTTAAGTCTTTAAGTCATTCGTCTGTATTGATGGCTTAAACAGGCCGCATACATCTTTTGGACATGCCGCATTCCTTTTAATAACGTCATGTAATGGAACTCTTACGTATTGCGTTCTCATCTTCTTAAGTCATAACATCATACTTTCAACACGTCACATCCTCATTAAACCTTAACACATTAGGCTGCCACCTTCGGTAATACGACTCACATTACCATTTTACATCAGATTATATGCTTCACATGCATCTAAATTACACATCACGTAATTGTAGAGATCTAAATCTTCACAAATTTTCCAATTTTACCCCTGGTCACCAATAACCCAACTTTAAGTAGGCTAACTCAACTCTCGGAGATTGTAACAACATTTATCAACCAGATTCTTAATCGAAAACATAGAAATCTCATAACATTTTATAAAATGAACAAAATACCATTCTAACACCGTTAATAGACTTGATAAAAAATAAGTGTTACAAACTATCTTCTTACTAAAAAGATTTCTCCCTCTAAATCATGTGAAATAAATAAGGACACATCAATTTTAACTATTCCTCAAATTCTCAGTTACATTTTGCATCTCTATATATTTCGTAACATAATACGCGAAACACATAAGGGGGACTCTAGGTTCACATAATTGTTTTAATATAATAGATAATAACTACAACCCTTCTCAATCTCCAAAAGGGGGTTCAAGGAATTAGGGAATACCATCTACTATTCTCTCAAAGTGGATTATACACTTTCCAATTAAATTTTTTAATATCATTATGTTTCTGCCCCCAAAATTTCAACGACTTCGGACATCTCTCAGTATTTTGTTTCTCTATTCTTTACTCCGTTTTTCAGCTAATAGATTTCAATCCATAAGAGGCTTTTCTTCCGCTTCAATTTGACTTATAAGTGTTATGTCTAACTTATTACTTACTCATTCTATACGATACTCACTCATATCTTGACACTTACTTTATCTAGAAATTTTCTCCAAAGTGGCACTGTGGTTTGTGCGGGACCTTCAATGGCGACTAGCTTCGTTACCAATTAGGTTTGGTGGTTTTGGGTTGTACTCAACAGTAGATGCTTCCTCCTATGTTTTTTGTGGCCTCACGAGCTCAATCGTGGGTGTTACAAGACCACATCTTACGAGATAGCGGCATATGTGGTATGGATTTAGATTATGTTTGTGCTTTGGCCTGTCTTCGTGATACGATTCTGGGCTTTGACTTCAGCGGTTTCACTAATAAGGACACCGCCCCTCTAAAATCCCAACATTCATTAGCGAGTGCCATTTTTAGTAAAATTGTCCAAGACATGGAAGTTCACTTCGACATGATGATTAGACAGAAAGTAATTTTTGAGTGTCTAAGGGCCTCACATGCTTAGGATTTTCTTATGACTATTCCTATTGACGGTCTTGGCCAACATATGTCGCCAGTGGAGTATCGTGTCATCCTCAAGTATCGCCTTATGATCCCTTTTTTTTCGGCTGATGAGACTTGCCCTGTTTGTCGCAAGGCATGCTTGGACTCCTTTGGGGAGCATGCAGTTCATTGTAAAGAGCTCCAGAGTTTCAAGTACCGACACGTTCTAGTTAGGGATGTTCTTTTCGACATATCTAGGCGCGCTGGGGTTTCTGCCAAGAAAGAGGCACATGTGAACTTTCTGACTGACCCATTGGAAGGAAGATCAACACTTAGACCAGCTGATGTTTTAGTATTTGGATGGGTTGGAGGGAAGCATGCATGCGTGCATCTAACAGGGTTTCCCCTCTTATGGGCTTGAGGAGTGGGGTTTTCACTGTGGGGAAAACTGCTTTAAAAGCTGCATCATGCAAAGTGGCAAAACATGAGAAAACATGCATGAAAAATCAACATACATTTATACCTTTTGCATTTGATATTTTCGGTTTCCTTGCGCCAGAAGCTGTGGAGCCACTCAATAGAGTCTAACGGGTCATGCATAGTAATGTTATGACCCCAAGATCTATAGATACTGTTTTTAAAAGAATTAATTTTGTCATCCATAAAGGGGGTGCGGAACAGCTTGTTGCTCGTTTACCCACTACGTCTATGTAAAACTTTCTTCCTTAATGGATTAAAGTGGCAAACTAGTCTACTTTATCAACTAGGGCCATAAGTATTAACATCATATATTGTTCACTTATCTTCCTATTCTTTCTCTTTTCAACATCTTCTGACTTTATCGTCTTACTTTGTGCCTCTCCGATCACATTGAGAAAATGAATGCTATTATTAACTACAACATACGACTTTTATAAGTTTCAACATAAGACTATTATATGTAATAGTATAAATTTGCTGTTTGTCACTTGTAGTTACAAAAAAAGAAAAGGCTACTAAATGGGGAATGTTTGTAGAAGAAGTAAAGAAAATTACTTATGATCATAATATGGTAATGTTCAACAAGAAGATTTTGATGTATGATGACATGTTAGTTCATAAGTCACTACTTCAACATAGGGGTGTGCAAAAAACCGCACAAACCGCCCACACCGCACCGCTTAATGTGGTTTAGAATTTCGCGGTGCGGTTTGCGGTTCGTAATTTTGTCAAACCGCACTATGCGGTGCGGTTTATATATATATATATATATATATATATATATATATATATGTGTGTGTGTGTGTGTGTGTGTGTGTGTGTGTGTGTGTGTTTCCAAGTACCAAATACTTCATTTTGTCGAATAACTTACTCAATATGATGATGGTTGAATATGGTAATTATAGACTTAAAAAGACTATGATATCAAATCTCATAAGTCGGAACAAGTTAGCAAAACATTATGTGGTTTTTTTGTTCGCAATATCTATTTCTTTTAAAGGGTATGCAATATAAATTAATAAATTTTGAAAGTGTTTAAATGGAATGATTAACAACAAAAGTTATAAATACGAACAACTTATCAAACCGCATAAACAGCACACAAACCACACAAACCGCCCGCACGAAACCGCACCGCATAATGCGGTTTAGAGCTTTTGCGGTGCGGTTTGCGGTTTCCAAAAAACTCAAACCGCATGTGCGGTGCGGTTTGCAGTTTCAACTCTAAACCGCACCAAACCGCACCGCGAACACCCCTACTTCAACATCAACTATTGAACAATTGCATTCTAATCATTATACTCTTAATTAATTGTAATTAATCCAAAATCAATAATTAAATTAATTATGATTAATTATTTATTATTCTAATTAATATATTAATAATATATTATATTAATAAATCATTTATCTCTCTTAATATCAATCAAACTATTTTTTTGGTTACGATGACAACTTAAAAAGGACTTACTTTTATTCACTAAGAATATACCAATTTAATTAAAACCTTATAAACTTAATTCAACAAAAATACCATAAACAACAACAAAAACATAAGAATTATAAGCCAAAAATAATAATATAGGCCCAAAACAAACAGTTTGTCATATATAAAAGTTTTTTTTCTCTATTTTTCTTTTGTAAAAAAGTTAGTTTTCGTTTGCTTGAAAAAATTGTAAAACATGCTAAAAATGCAAGGAAAAAAAAATAGAAAAATACTAGGGATTTTTGTATAATAAAAAATGTTTAGATTTAAAATTTAAGAACCAAAAATATAAAGAGTTTTATAAGATTAACTTTTAAATTTATTATAAACATTCTATCAATATTGGTAGCAAAGCTAAACATAAACATATAAAACTCATAAAGGATATATTTTTGTATAAACACATTAACCTCGTTAAAAATAAAAAGATTACAATTTACATGATAATTATGAGTGTTTGTCAAAACTAAATAAACTGCAATTTTTTATTTTATTTATGTATAAGTATTTTTGATAAAAGTAAAGGTTAGTTTTTTAAGATGTAATTTATATAAAAAATTAAAAGATAAAAATTCTGAAAACTAAAACTATTAAAATTTATTTGAATTAGTTTTTGGATCAATGCCGTCTTTTTTTTCTTTTGCTTCAAATAAAATTTATCTGAATGGTCTCAAAAACTATAAAAAAGAAATTTAAAAACTCGTGTACCAAAACAACGAAATATCTTTAGAATTGTGTTTTTATATGTGAAATCCACTTTAAATCAAATCGATTTGTTTTATTTCCTAGACAAAAGGTGGACGCATGGAAGTCAGCCTTTAACATGGAGGGCAAGTACGTCAATTCATATCCTTGCAATTAGATTGTACAGTACAAGTACCATCCAAATTCCGGACACGAGTACAGACCACAGTAGCCGGCATCAGCTACAGTTAAACAATAACCCTCCGACTCAAGAAACCTATCCGGACGCCAACCTCATATTTCATAAACCAATTTATATTTCCCTTTCGATTCCGAAACTGTATTTCATCGATAAACACAGCGTACTGGAAAAGCGCCACTCAACTTCAATTCAATTCAATTCCACCAAAATCTTCCAATTCCTTTCCTCTTTTCAAAAACCTAATTTTCTTATTTTCGGCACCTGAATTGAAATTTCGGGGGAATCAACGGTTACAGCTTTCAAATCAATCGGTGTTCGCGTTCCTACATTTTTATGGTGAGTTGGTACTGATCAGGCCAGGTAATTTTTGGCGATTGAATTGATTACGATTTTATGTCGAGGATGGGGAAGTGATTGTATAATGTAAAATCGCCAGGTTTGGGAAAGCTTTAATTTGATCGATTTTTTTTCCGTGTTATTTCAGCTTTTGTAATTGAGTTGCATGTGGTGGAATGTTACATGGAAACTTTGGTAGCAATTGAAGGAAGCGAGAAAAGTAAGTTAGAGGGCACTTCTGCAATTGTGATAACCTGTTCTGACTCCTCAAAGCAGATTGCTGATCCCGTTGTTTACAAGCTTGCTCGGGTAATTTGCAATTCAATTTCTTAGGTTTTTGTATCTGCATTCTTCAGTTGGGAAGATATCACTGTATGAAATGCCATATTGGATTGTGATGAGAAAAGCCCCTTTTGATCTTTTTGCTGATAGTGTTACCTGGTGCGAACTAAAATTAAATTTTATATAGAACAATTGAAGATTTGTCCATCAAACAATGGACGTACGGAAACAATGTTAGAATGACCAGTCTAGCTAGTCATATAAAATAGCCTGAGGAAAATATTAATTTGCAATTCAGTTTGTTAGGTCTATGCATCTGCATTCTTTAGCTGGGAAGATTTCACTGTATGAAATGCCATGTTAGATTGTGATGAGTAAATCCATTTATGTTCTTTTTACTGCTAGTGTTACCAGGTATGAACCAGGATTGAGTTATAAATAGAAAACTTGATGATATGTCCATCAAACATTTGACATATGACAACCATTTTAGAGCAAATCAGTCTAGCAAGTCATATACAAACATACAGAGAAAATATTAATCCTTTTGGTGTTTTAGCATTACAAGCTTGCTTTCTTAACTACTTATAACCACTAGGGATATATATTCTCGTGAAATAATCCTCAATTTTAAGTTGAAAAGATCCAGTTCTTCATAAATGGTCTTATAACCGAGCCTGAGGTGCAGGCTTACCTTCTTTCTGTTGAGAAGTTCCATTATAATTGATTTGCTGCTAGTCTTAATTAAGACAGATTAACATTATCTCATCAAGCAATAATAATGCACTGACCCTGCTGCAGTGCCCTACTGGTCTGTTCAATAAGTTGCATGATAAGATGCATGGTGAGTGTTATGATCTGTTCGTGTTTCAGTTTTGTGCTTAAATCAAATGCAGAAAAATAAGTAGCTCCAGAATGTGAAATTCTGGATCCTTTAATTATACAAGAGCTTCTGTGATGGGTCATTTTTGTTGCTTTGTGAGATTTACATTTCAGTAAGCATCTAAAATGTTGCTACTTGCTAGAAGTTATTTTGGATTTGGTAGTTGTGAAGGCAAACTGGGATGTTGAGGTTATTTCTAACTGTATAATAATAATGATGGCACAGCGCATATATAGAACTGATAGCTTTTTTAATGGTTGCTAGTTGTTTAGGATATGACAGACCATCTTAGCATATAGGGACGGAAAAAAAATGCTTCAATATAGGATTCTTCCATAGAATTTGAGGACAATTAACAGTCTAGGTTTAGATTGTTGATGACATATAATTGAATAATGAGGATATTGAAAATGTTACAAGGAATACAATGATGTTGATAACGTTTCAAGTGTTTTTTGCCTGGCTCTAAGCCAAATGTGTTGTTATTATCTGATAAAGGAATAGAAGGATATGTAATTTCTTGTCATGAAAGAAGGCACAATAGCCATAGATGCTAACACTCCTTCAAGACTTGTATCTACAGGTGCATATACTTCATATAGGTTATGCGCTTACACAACTTTTAACTTTTATTTCCACTGTGACTCTATCTCATGCAATAAATTCTTGACCTCCAATACAAACACCTTTAGGTATTGTTTGGAGTTTTGAATGATGTGGGTAAAAGTTCATTTACTTATTCTTTTTTCATGTAACTACGCCCACTTGAGGAATACATTAGTTGTATGCAAAATTACTCGGACACTAATTTATTATGACAATCCCCTTCTAAGTATTGTTTGTAGTTTTGAATGATGAGGTATGCATTAGTTGTATGCAAAAGTGCCTCAGATGCTAATTTATTATGGTAAAGATAAGCATAAAAAGTAAAGACCAACCACTAAGTTTGGGGAAACAGATGTACACTTTTGATTGCACATGAGGATGAGAGTTCAATAGAGAGTCCACATTGCATGAAGCAGTGTGATTGGCAACATTGGGCGTGTCTGTTGAACATTATTGCCTTGCCTGATAATGTTCTTGTTGGTTACCAATCTCCCTCATTGATGAAGTACATGTAGAATATCATTTTAAGGCGTATGGTATATATATATATATATATATATATCTTATTATCTTTTTTCATGAGGATTAATATCTGCAGTCGTCTATTTTCAGGTTGAAGGTGATGGGAGATTAGTACCTGCAACTGATGATGAAGTGATGGAGGTCGAGGACTTGCTTGATGATAAGAGTTCAGTGCATTTTGTTCTGGACACCTGTCAGCCTGCAGTCTGTGCTTCAAACCATGAGACTTTTGGTCAGGAGTTCATGCCCATGCCCATGGACTCTCAAGGTCTCTCTTAATTGGTTCTTTTTGTTGTCATAACTCATAAGATGGTGGTGATGGAAATTAGTTATCTTTTGTTTTTTAAATGTTTTTGCTGTTGTGTCACTAGTTAACCCCACCCACCTGTGCCTTTGATTATGGCCTCATGCTTAATTATAAAAAAATATGACAGGTCTGTTCAAAGTCAAGGACCCTTGTACTCTGGGAGGAGGATCAGATACAGTATTTGGCACGACAGTTGATCTGGGGAAATTGAATTCCCAGTTTGAGGTAGTGTTTTGCTTTGAGCATTTGTAGAGTGGAAGTGGAAGTGATTTTATACATGTATTGAACTGCAGGAAATAGGTCGATCAGTGTCAAGTCCTGTTGATGGGAAGATTGAGGAATCTGGGGATAGGAAGGGATCAGCGGAGAGCGAACCATCAACTTCAACCATGTGTGTTAATGGGAAACCTGATTTCTCTAAGCTGAAAGGGGAGATTTGTCTTGACAACCTTTCAGTTAGAGAACTTCATGCAACTTTTAAGGCTACATTTGGGAGGGAAACTTCTGTGAAGGACAAACAGTGGCTCAAGAGAAGGATCTCCATGGGGCTGTCTAATTCTTGTGATGTTTCTACTACCACCTTCATAATCGAAAACAACATAATAACAAAGAAACCCAAAGTAGAAGAAGACTGTAACGATAACAATAACCTTAATAATGAGAAGGAGAAGGAGAAGGAGGATCCATTTGCTATATCAGTCGGTCAAAGTCAAAGTGTTGATAGTCAAAATCATAATCATATGGAAGATGATCAGTTGGGTGGTAGCAGCAAGAGTGTGAAAAGTGGTACTACACCCATACCCAAGCATCATCATATTGGTATTGGTATTGGTAGTGAAGATGATAAGGAGGGGGGTAAAAGGGTCCGGAAGCCCACAAAGCGGTATATCGAAGTTTCAGAATCAGAGAGCCGGGAGCGGGAATATAGTGGAAGTGGAAGACTGGTTTCTTCTGTGAAGAGCTCTGGACATGGACCACGAACTCGTGTGAGGCCCATTCATAACATCCAGCCAGTTACCAGACCTCTTGTCACCCGTCAAGATTCTCTTGGAGGTTCTGGGGTTGAGATTCCATATGTTTCTAGGATCCGAAGAGGTCGCCCCAGAGAAAATTTCATGGCTCTCATGGTAGTAATGCTAAATGCTGAATGCTAAATGCTAAATGCTGATGATGTTATTGTTATGTTTATAGTAGAGTTGCCTATTTTGGTATTTTGTAAACTTTTTCTTGACTTACTTGTGTAGAAATTTCAGTCATGTGGAACGGGAATCACAGCAAAACTGGTGAAGACAGCTCATGATGATGAAGTAGAGAACCGAGAGCTGAAAAATGCACTACCCACTGGATGGGTTCAACTTCAACAGCCTGTAAGCATTTTGCATTTTTTATGTTTCATTCTAGTATTCTTGTTTTGGTTTATTAAGTTGCTATTAATTAATTAATTATTGAAGAGTGCTATTTGAGTTAATTACTCTGAATGATGCATCATCCTACTTGGTGTGTTCTTTTGTTTCTTGGAGGTTCCATTCCTGCTTTGAAAATATATATTTGTAACATCTCCTGATCTCCAGAATAATTAATTGGTATGTGAAGTAGAATATATATGTAATATCTGCTCCTTTATGATTATGAATTTTAGATGATACTGAAATCATAATTTTGTTCGTTCTTTCCTTGTTATTCTGTCTCATATACTGGGTTATTCGTTGCTGTTTCATTTGATACATGGCAGTATTATAAACTTTATATTATAGGCCTATAGGGCTTAGGCTAGACTGCATATATTAAACATAGATTGTAGTTGAAGTGGTTGGGATGATATAGTAATAATGTTTGATGTGAAAATGATGATGATGGTTGGATGTTTTATGTATATGCTATAAAATAGGTAATTAAGGAAGGAGGGAGTGAACAGTACTCAGAGGAGGCATCAGGGGAGTTGAAGAACGATTCGGAAGAGGGTGATTCGTATGATGATGCAGAAGCAGAAGCAGAGGAGGAGGATGATTCAGGTGATAATGATAATGGTAATAATATATTAACAGTACCTACAGCAAAAGGCGGAATGAGGAGGAAACACCATAGACCATGGACTCTGAGTGAAGTTGTGAAGCTGGTGGAAGGTGTTTCCAGGTATGGTGCTGGCAGGTGGTCTGAAATAAAAAGGATTGCCTTTTCAACATGCTCGCATCGCACACCAGTCGATCTCAAGGTACATACTACTACTAATACTATTCCATCTATGCTGACCTGTCATTACTCATTTCATGCATTTCCATACCATACCTTTTTAGGACAAGTGGAGGAATCTGCTGCGAGCTAGTTTTGCACAGTTACCAGCTGAAAAAGGGGTAACTCATTTTTCCTCCTTCCTTCCTACTTCCTAGTACCTTGTTGATTTGGCTTTTACTTGACACTTATATATATATATATATATATATATATATATATATATATATATATATATATATATATATATATATTTGTTGCATGCAGGTGCAAAATTCCAAAAAACAGTCATCAATTCCGATCCCAGCACCGATTCTGTTAAGAGTCAGAGAGCTTGCGGAGATGCAATCCCAAGTCAGTCCGGATCTCAAACCACTCAGATTTGGTGGTGGACATAATCATAACAGTAATAGTGGTAGTAGAAATGTAAATGATATCAAGTCGGGATTTTTGTAGTGGTGTAAATTACCTGTTCAAAGTTGTTGGCTCATCACTGATGATATTATTAGTAGGGTACCTGAATAATAAGAGAATACTGATTGTTTCTACTAATTCTCATGTTTTTTTTTTGGGTACATGTTTCTGCTATGATGTCTTGATTTATTCATAAAATGAATGGAGTTACAAGTTTCTTAAATCTGTATAACTTCTAATATTGTGTGTGTTGTGCTTACGACTTACAAGTAGCGAAGGCTGGCTCTTGCCTTCTCTTTTTATTTATCCACAGCCACAACTCCAACATGTGGTTCAATCAACTTTGGTTTTTTGTCAACCTGTCATTAGGGTTTTCATCTCTTCGTATAATGTAACCAATTTCTTTAGATTGTTTCGTCGGGATGATGAAAAAGGATGTGAAAGCGAAGGCCATTTGATAAGTTTTTCTCTTGTTATCTTCAACATTGTGGACAACCCCAAAAATCGAATCACAATATCAAATGCCAACCTACAGCCTACGAGTTTTATCATTATGCAATAAACTACTAAACATAGCTCAAATAATCATCAACTTGTCTATCAAGCTGTCTCGAATAAGCAACATAAAAATATCATCTTCTAAGTTCTAACATGTGTAATGCCTCACTCTTCTAATCATCGCTACTTAATATCTACACAAAAAATATGAGTTTATGCTTAAATAACTAGGCACTAACATATGGGTTCTCAGTCCAAAAATCATATCGCATAATAGCTTTTAAAATGTTGGTGATTTTAATATCATTGAGTATTTTAGGTAGATCTACACAAATATCGAATGAGATTTTAGGCTATGCTCAAATATGAGTCAATACCCAATATGCATTACTCAAATTTGTATGAACCAGTTTGATCTAAGACACGAATGAACCAGGGCATGCTCCCTTGCGGAGTCAAGGGGCAATGCCCCTATGACAGTTGATATCATGCTCCCATGTAGGATAGTAATTCATTTAAGATTGTTTACCGACTACACTCAACAATTTGATATACAACACGATTGACATGACACACGTTTATGTGTATGAGTTCTGGAAAATCGTGTTTCATGTTTATTCATGTCAACACAAATTCTAAATTCGTTTTTTCGTGTCTTACACATGTTAAACACAAATTTACTTGTTAAAACATGTATAAGATACGAATTAAATTTATGCGGCATTCGGCACGTATACACATGGGACACGTGACACGTACATACACATATACACACAGATTAAATGCATGTTTTTCCTAGCTTATTAGACAATGCATATATAAATTCGTGTTTTCATGTAACACGGTTAAAAGCATGTCAATTCGTGCCATGTCACGTGTTACACAAATTAATTATGTGTTGTGTTTGTGTTTGATATCCAAAAAATGTTTTACAATCCGTGTTGTGCTCGTGTTTTACAAATTCGTTTCATGTATATTTATGGCCGACACGTATAACCGACACGGAAACACGAATTGCTAAGTCTATTACCGACAATGTCTTCGATAAAGTACGACATTTCTTTACTAGACAGAAACACTAGTTTCCCTTTGTGGCAAGTAAACATGCATGAGTGATGTCTTAATTCTATTGGATTTACACCAAACACTTTTGGGTTAAGAAAAGATGTATGCATCATGGTCTAATGAGGATAAGGAGATGCAAATTTGCCTACATCTATCCAACACCGTTTTAAAAGATGTGTTGAAGGAAACTTTCACATATGAAGCATTGTTTGTTCAATCTGAAGGTGAACGAGGAAGTTTTTTGAATGATCAATTTTTTTTTTCATTTTCAAAGGGTTAGTAGGAAACCTGGAAAACATGGACGTTAAATATGTTGAGGAAGACTTGGCATTATTTATATTGTCATAATTTCCTGAGTGTTATGATCATTTTTGTGATATTATGATCTATATTTGAAATACTATTGTCTTAGATGAGATAATCACCACTTTAGACTCAAAAGAAAGGGTGAAGCATATTATTAGCAACAGTAACGGTGATACAAAAGCCGGAGATCTCAATGTTAAAGGAAGACCAATGGAAAAAGTAACAGCTCACAATTCTACAACGAGACAAGATCCACGTCCAAAGGAAACAAAAATACTACAATTATTGGCACAAGATAGGAAATGTAATCGGTGAACGCTTAAACTTAGAAAAACAAAGAGAAGGAGAAAACAACCACCAAGGGAAACTAATAAGTCCGTTAAGGGAGACTAACGTGGCCAAGACGGTTCCAGCGGTGAGCTTCTATCCATTTTTGATGATGATTTGAAGACTACAAATGAGTGGGTTCTACGTTTTACGTGTACATTTCACATGAGTTAAAAAAGATTGTTTCCACACAAACAATTACCGATGATATAACGATAGCTCGAAATCATTGTCTAATATGGATTAGTCTCACCTATGACAAATGACTTGGGTGAATTAGCTATCATGACGTGTGTGAGCTAAGTCGAAGATGGATTATGTTGAATCTATATGCCTAAGAATCATTATTGAGTGATGTTGCTAATAATATATGATCCTATAGGGTTATACCTTTATCAAGTTGACACATTTTGTATATTTATTATTAATATGATTATTAACAAATAATATCAACTTCTGTATTTAATTAGGGAATAATTATTGTTTTGTGAAAATAATAATTAAAAGAGAGTATAACTAGTTATTATATCATATGGTATGATAAAATAAGTCATGTACAAAGTTTTGGACACTTTGGTTAACCATGATTAAGTTAATGAGTTAACATATCATGGTTAATAAACTAGAAGACAATTTTTGTATTCTTTCTTAAGCATGGCCGAAAATCTATACAAGCATGGGAGGTTGCTTGTCAACCTCCCACCCTTGCTCCCCATGCTTCTAAAAGCTAGTGAATACCTTATATTATAATATGGTATAGCTTTACTTTTGCATGGAGTATATAAATGAGTGTTTGCTTGCATTTTTGTGACCTTTCGCTTAGAAATGGCTTGAAAGATGTAAGTATCCTCTCCCTATCTTTTTCTTGTCTTTTGAAGATTGTTGCAAGAGTTAGATGCTTAAAAGTGTTTCTCCTTTAGTGCTTATTTTAGTTAAGCACTTAAAGGCTTAATAAGTATTTTATACAAGAAGGAACTAGCATTCCAAGTGCCTTAATCTTGATGGTAGATACTGTTGGGGTATGAAGTCTTGTCCAACATGGAGCATTTGGATCATGTTCATGAGCACTTAGAACTCAATGGAGAACTTGAGGTTCATGGAGCATGTGACAAAGGAACGAATCTTATGAGAAAGGAATGGATCATCAGACAAAGGAACAGATCAAGTGCCAAAGGAACGGATCATGTACAAGGGGGTTTGGAGCACCTAAAAGAGGTTAGGAGCACTTGGAAGAGGTTTAGAGCAGTTGGAAGGGATATGGAGCAACAAGGGGTCCTTGTTGCGCCATTTGATAAAGGGATGGGCCAAGAGGAATGCTCTTGCTCCATGGCACTCCCTCTTGCGCCATCTTGCTCATTGTTGCGCCATTCATGTGCATGTTGCTCCATGGTTATGCTGTTGCTCCAAGATTTATGTTGTGCGCCATACTTGATGCTCTTGCGCCATTTGTATCCCTGTTGCGCCATCTAGGGTTTTTGTCGCGCCATCATGGACCAGCTTGGTCCATGATGCGCCATATTGATTCCTTTGTTGTGCCATGTTGATCCAAATATGCCTAGAAGATGATGATGCTCAAGAATGTTCCAGAAGATGTTGCATAGCGGATTGTGATTGGTTGTCACCATTCATGGGCCTATGGGCCAATGTGCTTAGCTCATTAGGCTTTTAGGTTTGATCCTTCAAGTATAAATAGGCTCATACCCCCATCATTGTAAATTGCTAGATTTCTGTGAGAGCTCAAAGTAAGATACAATTTTGAGTGCTTGTAATTGTTCCAGAAAGTTAATAAAATCCTCTCTCTCTCTCTCTCTCTCTCTCTCTCTCTCGTTCGCCCGTAAACGTAGGTCACCTTGACCGAACCACGTTAAATATCGTGTTCTTTTGATTTACGTTTTTATGAAATTTTGTGTGGTTACCGAAGTTTGTGTTTTGATATTTGTCCGAAGTGCCTAACTTGTTTTGTTGTCACCCAACAAACTGGTATCAGAGTCATGGATGAAGACGGTAGAGTTAAGATTTACAAGTTCAATGGAAAATATTTTGGTTTCTGGAAGATGCAAATTGAAGACTGCCTCTACTAAAAGAATTTACATGAACCGTTGTTAGAAGATAAGTCGTTCCTTATGAAAAAGGAGGATTGAGAGTTGTTAGATCGGTAGGCACTTGGTGTGGTGAGTTTATCATTGGCAAAGAACGTTGCTTACAACATTGTCAATGAGAAGACAACTTATGGTTTAATTAAAGCGCTATCTAACATGTACGAGAAACCTTCAGCGGCGAATAAGGTTCACTTGATTCGGTAATTGGTAAACCTGAAGATGAAGGAAGGTGGCTTAGTGACTGATCATGTCAATGAATTTAATTCAATCTTGTCAAGGTTGACATCAGTTGAGATTAAATTTGAAGATGAAGTCCAAGCACTACTACTATTATCATCATTACCCGAAAGTTGGTCAGGAACAGTTAGCAACTTAGCTGGAGGTGCCAAGCTGACATTCGAAGGCATACACGACTTAATCCTTGGTGAGGATGTGCACAGACGAAGTGTTGGAGAATCCTCTAACAGTCTTTTCAGTACTGAGGAAAGAGGAAGGAAGTCCAACAGAGGGAGTGGAGGTAGAGAAAGATCAAAGTCGAGGAAGAGAGGTGTATCAAAAAACAGGAAGGACATCACATGTTGGAACTGCAAAGACAAGGGCCATTTCAGGATTAAATATCCGAAGCCTCTTGCAGACAAAGGCAAGAATGAGATGAACATTGCATCAGACTCTGAAGGAGATGCTCTTATCTATGCAGTTGAAATCTCAGTTGAATCATGGATAATGGATTCTGGTGCGTCGTTCCATGTTAGTCATTCCGAAGATGTGATGCAGAATTTCAAGCAGTACCAAGGGAAGGTCAGACTGGCAGACAACAAGAGCCTTGATATTACAGGATTTGGGGATGTGGTTCTCAAGACTACTTT